CATCCCCTTACCCGAAATTGGGTGAATGCATCTAATATTACTGATTTACTGGTAGACACGAAAAACAAAACTTTATTCGAAAAATAAGGAATTGATGAACCTGTCTAAAACGGTATTTAACACCAGAATCGAGGACGTTATTTGGCAGAACAGACGAGGAGTGATCTTGAGCTACAGGTTTCCCCTTAAGAATTAGCAAATATTGTTTTGGATGAACAAAAGAGGAACATGTGTTGTTATGGGTAGGGCAATTGATGCATAAAAAAGGATACAAGCATTAGATAATATGGGAGCATACAATATTATCACTAAGTGCTCTACAGAAATGCAGAAGTCTGAAAATGAATGAACCTCTTCAATGAGATGCCAGGCCTCTGAATACATATGCTCTGCCCAAAATACAAAAAGTAAAGGCTCCTACTTGGAATTTTTATGAATATTAAGGATAGATTGATTCACAAAGCACTAAGATTTATTTAACATCAATTATGCCAAGGCTCCGAGATTTCGTTAAGTTAGTCGAAAAGAGGAGGTTAAAAAGCAGGAATTTGCCTGTAAGTTCTGATGTAGAGTCGAGGTGCACTAAAATTTCAGTAGACGAGGCTAAGCAGTCTTTAGAATTGATATGAAGTCAACACCGAGAGATTTTCATCAGGGCAAATTTAGGTGGCGAGTCACCAATGGTAAGGACAAACTTAGCCATTTGCTGTACCTATTTTGCCTCTAATGGTAGCTTGTACAAACAAACACGAGGCGTTTGCCCCGAATTTAGCAAATAATCATGTAGCTCAATTGGAGGGTCGTCTGAGTCGAGAAGCACTTTTATTCCATAAATATTAATTAATTACTAATTATTATTTAATATTGATAAATAGTAATAAAAATTAATAATTAATGAATTGATCATTATTAATAATTAATTTTTTCTACTACTATTCCCCAAATTAAAAAAAATCAGTACATGGATGACTAGTTTGCCACTTGGTAACATGGGAAAGAGAAACTTGAAAATTTCCTAGAGGCCATGGAATTAAAAAAATAGGTTGTTTAACTTTTCTAGATGACCCAGTTAGTAAAGAGAGCAAAAAATTGGGTATAAATGTATATATGGATCCCATAATGAGGGTTTTCTATTAGTTTCTTTTCTGGCCATATTTCACCTCATTTCTATCCCACCAAACGGTCTCACGTCAAGCCTTCGCTGTCATAAGTACAAGGAATCACATAAGTTGGTAAAGGGCTAATAGCTAAATTAAAACCCCAATAATATTATTAGGCCTCAGGATTCCAATGAATTTCGCTGAACCTTGCTTCTGTGGATGAGAATAACTTATGCGATCTGGATGATAGAGCTTTTATTCAAGATGTACCGATAGTCTCAAAACCTGCTTACAATGAAACTACTTACGAGTAGTCAATTCACAACAAATCGTCGGCTGCTTTTGTTGTGCTCTGACCTCTCGACGTACGGTACAGAAGATCCTGACTTGAGAACTATTGTTGTGCTGGAGGAGGAAATAATGCTTTTCAGGTGCTGTATAAATCCCAAAGGTGTGCATGTCTGTATGGGCGAAATGTAATTCAGTTCGTATGTGCACTGGTGATGGGAGGGAGGACGAGCAGATGAGGATTGAGTGGCTTTTATATCAGGTCTATTGTTAGTCACGAAAATCCATTTAAAAACTAAAATTAATTAATTTAGCTGAATGTTATAGCAAATACAACTTTGCTTCGTTGGCAATCACACAACACAAGTGTGATTTGGGAAAGGCATAGTCTTTATTGGAATCCATTTCTGGCATGTTGGCTAATCTGGCAAGGCTACACGTTACGATACCACAAACCGGGTTCGAGTCCCGCTGGAGGGGG